AGAGGCATCTCTGGGTGACTTGAACCTCCAACTCTTAGGTTAGCAGCTGGGTGTGTTAACTATTTGCACTACTCAGGGACTCCAAAGACCTCTAAGAGATTCTTTTAGGCACATGGAATGAATGAAGTTCTTCCATTTATCACCTGACATATGACAAAACAAAAACCTAAATGGGAGATTGATTTAAGAAAATAAAACTAAACAGATTGTACCCAATCATCTGAGCACTAGATGACTCTAATACCTCTCTTCTCTCAAAAAAACCATCTTCCAATTTTCCAATTTGATTCTAGATATTGCCAAAAGAATTCCACCATTCAAAGAGTGCTGAGAGCAGATATTTCATAAAAAGAAACAATCGAATAATAATGCTCATTATGATATGTGTCTTTCAGAGGGTCACTCCTGCTGCAATTCTTAGATTGTGTATTCTCTTCTACTGCTGTTAGGAAGGAGGGGAAGAGGAAGAAATGGTGGTCCTTAATTGTTGCTTTGTTTGATTTATTTAATTCAGAGTCATTATCTAAAATGGGGGTAATCTCATTAGAACTTAGACTGCTCTATTATTTCTTGGGATGGGGTTAATTTCATATTTGCAGAGTCATAAAGTAAAGAGTCGAAAATCCAATTACAACAGCTTAATTTCATAGTGACTAAAGAGAAACATTTCTATCATAAAGGAAAATAAATACTGCACTGTTCGGGAAACGATTTATCAGGGACTGTGGGTCTAGGAAGAAGGTCTCCATTACTGTCATTCAACTTTGCATGATCATGCATCACAGGGCCTGGCAAGTCTGCTAAAGGGAGTAAATTTAATCAGCCTGAGTCAAAGTAATCAGGCTCAGGTTGACACATTTCAAGAAAGGTCAGCATTAAGCACATTTTTTCATCCTTAACTCAGTTACCATGTCATAGTCTCTGAGTTAGTATTCCTCCAGCTTGAATCTATAAAATGAATGTCTGCTGCAAAGCGTTAACTAGGTTAGGACTAACAGGATTTATTTCACATTCTATTATTTGTTATTCCTCATAATTTTCCATGTGTCATGCTGGAAAACTGGTGAGGTAATTCAATTATGCTCAGAGTTGAACAGCTAAATGTATATTAGCAAATCAATCTGTATTTGTGCATAACCCAATCATAGTCCCACTGACTGGGGAGAGGAAATTCATTTGCTTAAATTATGCTTTAACTCAGTTATCATTTGCCAGAATTAGGTGGTAAAGTTACACATATTGGTACATAAGTGCCACTGAATTTCAAAAACAAATCTAAGTTGGGTGTTAATGGAGAATTTTGGAGTCCCAGGGCAGTGAAAATAGTTTACTCATTCACTATTAAAGCAAAGATTGGAGATTCAGAGTCTCCTTGGAAGAAAGGCCTGGCAAGCTACTTCTAAAAACTTGCTGTTGTTGTTATGTGCCACTGAGTCAGACCCGACTCATAGCGACCCTTCCTTGGGTTTCTGAGGCAGTATCACTATGGAAGTAGATTGCCCAACCTTCCTTCCGAGGAGTGGCTAGTGGGTTTGAACCGCCAACCTTCTGGTTAGCAATCAAGTGCCTTAGTCACTGTGCTACCAGAGCTCCCTCTAAAAACTTAGTCACTGAAAATCTTACGGAGCACAGTTCTGTCTTACACATGTGTGATCACCATGAGTAGGAGTGGACTCCACTGAACCTTGTATTGGTTTCTTATCAAGAGCAGCTGGCCAATTCTGTCTTAAGGAAGGGAAACAAAGGGGAGTTCCATGATGTAGATGTACTTCTTAGATAGCAAACCACCCTTGCCTTCATGCACTCATGCTCTAGCACTCACCTCCTGTGCTGTAGTGAACAAGTGTAATAATAAGAGTGTGTTTACAATGTAGTGATCAAGTATAATAATGAGTGTGTTAACATTGCACTGAACAAGTATAATACTGAAAAGTGTGTTAACATTGTAGTGAATTAGTGTAATGATGTAGGAGCTCTGGTGGTGTAGTGCCTAAGGCATTTGACTGCTAACCAGATGGCTGGTGGTTCAAACCCACCAGCCACTCTTCAGAAGGAAGATTGGGCAATCTATTTTTGTAGAGATACTTCCCGGGAAACCCAAGGAGGGGTCGCTATGAGATGAATCAACTTGATGGCAGTGAATTTGGTTTTTTTGGTTTAGTGTAATAATAAGAAGTTTGTTAACATAAGCAAGAAATATGAATTATAGCGAACAAAATGTTTAAACAAGTGTGATGATAAGACAAGGTGTGACAAGTAACCAAGGGTATGGACAAACTAACAGAAGAGACAGAATAATTCTGGTATAGAAAAAGATGGGAAAATGTTGATTATGAAGCATGTAAGGACCATCAAAAAGGCATTTCATTGCTCAGAGCAATACCAGAGCCATCCCAAAAACAAGAGTCTGATTCTTCCAGCAGAGCAGCTAAGGGTTACACCCTCTCTTGCTATCTTGAGAACTTGCCCAGGTCTGGTGGAGGAGACTCAATTTCAAGGCAGGCAGTCTTGAGGATGATCTCACTCTAAACCCACAGATTCATGGTGTAATATTTTATCTGCTCGGAACATCCAAAGTGTTGGTGAGGTTAAAGTAACGGCCAGTGGTGGCCAACATGGGTAGTAGCTGACACATTCTGGGAATCTCTGGTGCAGGAGATCAATCAGCAGTGACAGCTTATCTGAGGTAACCCTGTACCAGCCCCACTGGGTCTCTTCCATCCAGAGAGTGTCTTGAGGCAAAGCAGGACACCTGCAGCCTGAGAGGCCCTGGCTTGTAATCTATGCCCATACACTCCCCATGTGGTACATTCCTAACTCCCCTTGTAGAGTCCAATAGAGCAAACAGCAACATTGGCACAGCTCAATTGAAGAAGGCATCACTACAGGCTTCATCACAAGAACTTCAGATACTAGGATGATCCACAAACTCATCTCTGACACCAGCTGATGAGTACTAACTATGTTTATCTACTCTTGCTTGAATATGTCCTTCATGTGTGGAGGCAGTCACCCTTGATTTGTTGATGTTCTTAAATATTAATAAAACTAATATTATGGAAAGACAAATTTTGAGTAGAGTGATCATTCGTCATCGCTTTTTCAAAACACATGCCCATCATATGTCTTACATGTAAACACAGTCCCTTGGGCACAGTCAGCTCTCAGCTTCTAAAAAGTGAGATCCAGCCCAAGACTTCATTTTACGTCTTTGTTTGTAAAGTTCCAAGGAGTTTTCAAAATGATTTAGAATCAAATGTAGATCCCACATCAGATGACAGCAAATGTTCATTGGTTGTTTGTGTGACTCAGTGATGGGCATGTCTGAACAAGGCTCTCGGGCCTTATCAATACCCAATACCACCCACTGGAGCAGCAATGTGTTGACAGTCCTTGTCCTTCATCAGCTGTGCAGCCTATGAGTATCTCTGTGACTTGTGTGTCTCGCCTGTGGTGACTTAGCACCCAGGGAGAAGATGCACATTGAGTGCAGGATATGATTTTGTTAAATAAGCTTACTCAGTATTTCTCACTTATGTGCTCTCTTGATAGTGTGATTCTGAAATTATATTGAATCTGTAAAACACCATAATAGCTTCACACTGCTAATTCTAGAAATTTAGTCCTTTTACCCAAGGGTTGACACTCCAATAAGGTGCCTTGGGATATAAAGTAAACAAGATGAACTTTCTATGAGTAAAGCAAAATACTCTCTTCTATATTAGAAACAAAAATATTTTTACTCTCCTAACAAAGTAAAACTAGATAAAACAAAACTTTTCTTTCTGTGGGTTTGTTTGACTTTGAATATGAAAATATCAGACACAGATGGGGATTACAGTAGTTCATTTGAATGCTTTGGTCGTACCTTACTACTTTCTTTTAGGAGAAACCAAACCAAAAACAAACACACTGCCCTCGAGTCAATTCCGACTCATAGTGACCTCCATTGGGTTTCCAAGGCAGTAAATCTTTACAGAGGTAGATTGCCCCATCTTCCTTCCACAGAGTGGCTGATGAGTTTGAACTGCCAACCTTCTGATTAGCAGTCAAATGCCTTAGGCATTACACCACCAGAGCTCTTTTTCCTTTCAGGACAAGGCTCAGGTAAATCAAGAAAAATACAGACAAATGAGAAAAAATGCAGCAAACCACATGAAGTGGAAAGATCACTAAATGTTAAGCCTTAGATTCAAATTCAACCTGACTACTGAGCAGTTGTGTGATGTTAATTCAGTTAATGATGCTCTCTGGATGTCTATCTCTGCCTGTAAAAGGAGCTTGGACCACCTGAATCTAAGGTCCTCTCCAACTCTAAGTTTTTATTGATTCTTGGTATATTTCTTCCTTGTTCTGTTTTCTGTGTCCCTCTCAATCACTTTACCTCACATAATCATGGGGCTCAAGTGCTTATCTAGACATTAACTTCTCTTTTTGTTGTATATAAATGGACTTCATTGATTTTTTTTTTTTTTTTTTTTTGCCCTGTAATCAAATCAAGGTCCTGGATGACACTAATAATTTTTTCTAGGCTCTGGTAGCATAGTACCTACTTCCGTAGTGCTACTGCCTTGGAAACCCAAGGAGGGGTCACTATGAGTCGGGTCCGACTCAATGGCACATAGCAACAACAACAACAACCCAAAAGGGTGGCAATCAAACCCATCGAATGGTACCTTGGAAGAAAGGCCTAGTGATCTGTTTTTGTAAAGATTACGGCCAAGAAAATCCTACAGAGCATAGTTCTACTCTGTAATACATGGGGTCACCATGAGTTGGAATTGACTTTATAGCAACAATTTAGGTTTGGTTTGGTTTAGGTAGTGCAATGGAATAACAAAGTCAGCCACTAACTCAAGGATTGGTACTAAGGGTTTGAGGCTTATTTGCTACAGCAGCTAGCAGTTCTCTACCTGATATAGTTGTCAACTGAATGAATGAATGCTGATCATCTGCTATAAATTAAAAGGAAAGCCAACACAAAGGAGATCTGAAATCACCTTCAAAAGATCCAGTTTCAGCTGCAGTTCCCCTTGCGTGGATGAGCACAAGGCACCCACGATGATGCTCATGTACTCCTCTGCATTGATGACCGAGAGCTTTTCCAGGATGCTGAGCGAGGCTTCACGGTAGCACTCATCGTCCAGGAAGATCTTGATAAAAGGCACCATGCCATGGTCTTTCAGGACAACTAGGGGTCAGACAAACAGTAGGGGCTAGAGCCATGGGAGTTCTGGCACCTTAGTTTCAATCACAAGGAAAGCTTTTTCTGACAATTTTCAGTTTGTTTTGCTATATTTTTATGTTTCTCTTTTGCCCATTAGTAATTTGTTTTGTAACTTGCACCCACTGTTAAAATGCAAGGAGGGAAAGAAACTGTGCAGCAAAGATTTAGAAAAGAAAAATAGCTTTCTTGTCCAGTGAGAATTTTAGTTTTGAATCATTTTTTTAAGGTTTTTTTTTTTTTTTTTTTTGAAATCTAAGTAATACAAACATTTCCTAGATATCCCTCTGCCTTTTATTTCCACATAACTCTCTAATCCAAGACCATGGAAATTCTCTCTCTTTTCTCTGCTAAAGTTGTTTTGGAAAGCAAATCAGAATCTAAGCTAAGAACATATTTAACTCCTAGACAGTTTTTTGGGAGAGAAAATTAAAGAAATTTGGCTTGTGATGTATTTTTGTTTAAAGATTGTCTAAAGAATTTCTCCCCCGGGATTGATAGTTGTATTAGACAGGAGTTCACCAAGTGCAGGCAGGTACCACCTACAAGGAAATCCCCTGGCAGAGTTTTTTGACAGTAGATTTCTGAGCTCTACCTTGACCTACTACTACTTAAATCTCTGGAAGTATGGCCTAGAAACATGCATTTTAACCAGTACCTGCAGGGGATCTTTTGTAGACTAATGTTAGAGACCCTCTGCTATAATGAAATAATAATTTTTCACATTTTCGATAAAGATGCCTCAAATTAGCAAACCCCTTCATGTGATTTTGTTGCTGTATCTGTTTCATATTATAATATATATGCATATATATCATACACATCATACACAAAAAAAAAAAAAAACTCACTGCCATCAAGTCGATTGCAACTCATAGCAACCCCCTTTTGGGTTTCTGAGAAGGTAAATCTTTATGGAACCCAGTCTTGCTTCTGTGGAGTCGCTGGTAGGTTTGAACCACCAATCTTCTGGTTAGCAGTCAAATGCCTTAGACACCACCAGAGCTCCTTACACATCATGTTTATATATATATGTTCATTTACGTTATATTATCTTGTGTGTGTGTGTGTGTGTGTGTATTTAACCTGGTAGCCACATGATCTTAAGAAGCTAAAGACATTTTTTTTGGATAGATGGAGTTGTTAAGTCCGTCATGGGCTGGGAGTATATAAAAATTCTCTTTCTTAAAAACGACTAGCTTTCTTTGCCTATATTTCACTCTTTAGCTATATATATACATATATATATATATATACACACACACACTTGGTGCTAGGAGCTCTGGTGGTATAGTGGTTAAGGCATTTGACTGTTAACCAAAAAATAATTGGTTCAAACGTACCAGCTGCTCCACAGAAGAAAGATGAGGCAGTCTGCTCCCGTAAAGATTTACTACAGCTTTGGAAACTCAAATGCTACCAGAGGTCCTATACTTGGTGTAGCAGGATATTAATGTATTTTTCTTGAAAAGAGGGGCTCTGGGGTCTCATCAATTTAGAAAATGCAAGAGTAAACATAGTCTTTTTGCTCCCCAACATTATTTAGCAACTTCAGGAGTAAAAAGTATCAACCAAGGTGTCTACCAGTTTGCTGATGTTCACTAAACATCAGCCAGGAAATAAATGGATGTTGGTCATAACACCAGCATTGGCTATTCCTCAGATAGAGCTTTTGGACATTGGTATAAGTAACTAGGGAATAGTTCACATTTTATCAAGCAGTGACAAGGCATATTTGGTGCTATCCTTACCTGCATTCCGAACAGAACCTTCAAGAAGTGTGGCCACAGTCCTTAGCATCAAGCAGGTGAGTTCTCTTTCTGGATCCTGAATGTCAGGGGTGGACGCTCTGTTTCCTGCCATGTTTAAGAAACAATAATAATACAATTTTTAAAAGTACATACGGTGCTATGGACTGAACTGTGTCCCTAACAAGATAAGCTAAAACTATTGGTCTCTCTCCATCCAGAGCAAAGAAAAGTGAAGAAAATCAAGACATGTGGAAACAACTAGTGCAAAGGACTAATGGACTATGTGAATCTCAGCCTCCAAGACCCTGAGACCAGAAGAAGTACATGGTACCCAGCCACTATTATTGACATCTTTGAAAGGAATTACATTAGAAGGTCCTGGACAGAGTGGAAGAAAAATGTGGAACAAAACTCAAAATCATGAAAAGGTCCAGGCTTCCTGGTCAGATAAAGCCATGGAGATGTGAGAGAGATTCTGAATTAGACAAGTGTCTCCACTACATCTATGCAGGCAAAGCCATGCTTCCTATGTTCACCACCTACTGAATATCAATGCCAGGAAAGTGCTTAGCACAAACTGGAAGCTCAACACACATTTGGGGAATAAATAAATCAATGAACGAAGAGTAAAAAGTAGAACTCATTAACCAGGAGACAAAATATGTTAAAAAAAAAAAAAAAAACAACAATGAGAAACATTTAACAAGAGAAAGCAAAAAGACTGGAGCCATTAGCACACCAGAAATTTTCAACTCTTCTAATAATGGCCATAAATTGGGGATTGGATTCAAAAGCAAGTCAGTGTTAGGTTGTGTTATGGATTGAACTATGTCCCCCACAAAATATGTGTTGTAAATCCTAACTTCTACACCTGTGGTTATAGTTCCATTTGGGGAGATTTGTCTTTGTTATATAAATGAGGCAGGATTAGTATAGGGTGTATCTTGAGTCAATCCTTTTGAGATATAAAAAAGATTAAATAAGTATTGTTGTTGTTAGGTGCCATTGAGTCATCTCCAACTCATAGCGACCCTATGCATAGCAGAACGAAACACCACCCGGTCCTGAGCCAGCTCCATGATTCTTGCTATACTTGAGCCCATCACCACTGCCACCGTGTCAGTCCATCTCGTTGAGGGCTTCCCCTCTTTCATTGACCCTCTACCTTACCAAACATGACAACCTTCTCCAGGGAATGGTTCCTTCTGAAAACATGACTAAAGTATGTGAGACAAAGTTTGGCCATTCTAGCCTCCAAGGAGCATTCTGGCTGCACTTCCTCCAGGACAGACCTGTTAGTTCTTTTAGCAGTCCACGGTATTTTCAGCATTCTTCACCAACACCACAGCTCAAAAGCCTCAACTCTTCTTTGGTCCTCCTTATTCATTGTCCAGCATTAACATGCATATGAGGCGACTGAAAATACCATGGCTTGTGTCAGGCACACCTTAGTCCTCAAGGAGACATCTTTGCTCTTCAGAACTTGAAAGAGGTCTTTTGCAGCCAATTTTCCCAGTGTGATAAGTCATCTAATGTCCTGACTGCTGCTTCCATTAGCATCCATTGTAGACCAAGCAATGTGAAGTGTTTGACGATTTCAATATTTTCTCCATTTATCATAATTCTGCTTATAGATCCAGTTGTGAGGATTTTTGTTTTCTCTATATTAAGATGTAATCCATACTGCAGACTCTATTCTTCAATCTTCATCAGTAAGTACTTCAAGTCATCCTCATTTTCAGCAAGCTAAGTTGTGTTGTCAGCGTATCACAGGTTGTTAATGATTCTTCCTCCAGTCCTTACACCATGTTCTTCTTCATATAGCCAGCCTCTTGGATTATTTGCTCAGCATACAGATTAAATAAGTATGGTGAAAGGATACAACCCTGACACACTCCCTTCTGGATTTTAAACCATGCAGTGTCCCCTTGTTCTGTTTGAATGACAGCCTCCTGGTCTAGGTACAGGTTCATCATGAGTACAATTAAGTGTTCTGGAATTCCCATTCTTCTCAATGTTATCCACAATTTGTTATGATCCACATAATTGAATGCTTTTGCATAGTCAATAAAACACAAGTAAACGTCTTTCTGGTATTCTTCGCTTTCAGCTAAGATCCATCTGACATCAGCAATGATATCCCTGGTTCCATGTCCTCTTCTGAATCCAGCTTGCATTTCTGGAAGCTCTCTGTCAATATACTGCTACAACCGTTTCTGAATTATCTTCAGTAAGATTTTACTTGCATGTGATATTAATGATTTTGTTTGATAATTGCCACATTCTGTGGGATCACCTTTCTTTGGAATGGATACAAATATGGCCAGGTAGCTGTCTTCCAAATCTCATGGCATAACCGAGTGAGTGCCTCCAGTGGGGCATCCATTTGCTGAAACATCTCAAAAGGTATTCCATCAATTCCGGGAGCTTTGTTCTTTGCCAATTCTTTCAGTGCAGCTTTGACTTCTTCCTTCAGTACCATTGGTTCTTGAATATATGCCACCTCCTGAAATGGATGAAGATTGACCTGTTTTCTTGGTACAGTGACTCTGTGTATTCCTTCCATCTTCTTTTGATGTTTCCTGCATCAATCAATATTTTGCCCATAGAATCTTTCAATATTGCAACTCAAGGCTTAAATTTTTTCCTCAGTTCTTTCAGCTCGAGATATGCTAAGTATGTTCTTCCCTTTTGGTTTTCTAACTCCAGGTCTTTGCACATTTCATTATAGTAATTGGCTTTGTCTGCTCAAGCTGCTCTTTGAAATCTTCTGTTCAGCTCTTTTATCTTGTCATTTCTTCCATTTGCTTTAGCTACTCTTCACTCAAGGGCAAGTTTCAGAGTCTCTTCTGACATCCATTTTGGTCTTTTATTCCATTCACATCTTTTGCATCCCAATCACCAGTGATAAGCAACACATCTTGTTTGCATGTTTGTTCAATTTCAGACTGCAGAAGTTGATAAAAATCTTTAATTTCCTCATCTTTGGCTTTGGTTGTTGGTGCATAAACTTGAACAATAGTAGTATTAATGGGTCTTCCTTGTAGACATATGGATATTGTCCTATCCCCGACAGCATTGTACTTCAGGACAGATCTTGAAGCATCCTTTATGATGATGAATGCCACATATTCTCCTTCAATTTGTCATTCCTGGTATAGTACATCATATGGTTGTCTGATTCAAAATGGTCAAAAAACTGTCCATTTCAGCTCGCTAATGCCTAGGATAACAATTTTTATGCATTCCATTTCATTTTTGACAACTTCCAGTTTTCCTAGATTCATATTTCATACATTAAGTGTTCTGATTATTAATGGATGTTTGCAGCTGTTTCTCCTCAATTTGAGTCATGCACATCAGCACATGGAGGTCCTGAAAGACTTACTTTATCCATATCATTAAGGTTGGTTCTACTCTGATGAGGCAGCTCTTTTCCAGTCCTATTTTGAGGGCCTTCCAACCCAAGGGGCTCATCTTCCTACACTGTGTCGGACAATGTTTCCAAGCTATTCATAAAGTTGCCCAGTAATGTATCAGACAGTGTTTCTCTACTATTCATAAGGTTTTCCCTGACCAAGTTTTGAGAAGTGGATGGCCTCCTCCTTCTTCCTAGTCTCTTTTAGTCTGTAAGCTGCGTTGAAACCTGTGCACCATGTGCAACTCTGCTGGTGTCTGAAACACCAGCAGTACAGCCTCAAGCCTCACAGCAATGTACAAGCCTCACAAGATGACAAACTGACAGACAAATTTGTCTCCCTTAGCTGTTGGAGACCTCTGTGCGCCCCCCCTTACCTAATTCCTACCTGGAACCTGCCACTCCTTTTCCTGGCTCTAGGACCTTTCCTCCTGCCCCTATTTACCTGGATATCCTGACACTCCTGAGGTCCCCAAGGCTGCCGCTGCTCCCTTCCTTTCCTGGCTCTAGGGGGCTAGATAATAAATAAATGAGCAGAGTCAAAATGGAGGAAGAGAGATTCCAAACTACATAAAGATCACCCAGGATCAGAAGTTTTGTGAGACAAGAACTTTCCTTTAGAGACAACAGAGAACAAAAACCTTTCCCTGGAGTTGGAACCCTGAATTTGGACCTCTAGCCTCCCAAGCTATGAGTAAATAAAATTCTGTTTGTTGAACACATACACTTGTGGTATTTCTGTTATAGCAGCACTAGATAAATAAGACAGGCTGCTTTTTTAAAATAGTGATGATGGATACATAACATGATAAAAGCAATTCATGTTGCTGAATTGAACATATGAAAAAGGTTGAAATGGCAAGTTTCTTGTTTTATATATATACTTATATATATATTATATA